TTCCCAAAAGTACATAGGCCTTGATAAAGTTCAGTTTCAATGCAAATGAAAGCATGCAGCTGGAAATCCTTTTTTTGTTTGTTTGTTTGTTTGTGTTGTTTTAAATTAAGGACACATCATTTCAATTACAAAGGTAGGATTATCTGTGCAGATGCAGAGTCATTTTGGGCTTTTGCAGCAGAAACTTTACAGAAATGAAGTAATCCTTGAGAACATTTACAAAAGTGTAACTATATTTGAAAAGCCAAGCAATCTTGTATCAGATTCATGGCTGGCTTCATTAGGGCCTGATTCTGTTCCTTAAAAGCAATAGGAATGTTGTCATTTACTAGAATGGGCACAGGACCTGGCTCAGGCTGTCTAGATTGTACAAGCACAGTGTCTGACCACCTCATAACGATGCATGTCCAACCCATGAACAGTTGCTCCATTATTTGCAGCTTGTTCAGTCAGCAGTTCAGTTACTTAATGGGTTGAGTCATCGTTATATCTGACTACCATTTTTTAAACTGTCTGAACTCTAAAATCTTTTCCGAAACCCCTCTTCTGGCCTTCAAACAGCCCCCAACCTCTTCAATCTCATCATCAGAAGCAAGTTCCCTACAGACCAGGACCCACCAACTCAAAGCAGCACCAGACCCTGGCAAAACAACAGATGCAAAACCTGCAGAAATATCTCCACTGCTACAATGATCAACACCCACCCACCCTCCCCCGTACCACACCTTTCAAGATCCACGGGTCCTACACATGCATATGACAACAGGTGGTGTACCTCATCCAGCGCACTAAACGCTCCACTAGCAACTATGTGGGTGAAACCAATCACTATTCTCTCAAATGAACTCAGCCAGGAAAATGAGAAAAGACAAAAACACCCCATATCACCCGTGTGGGTGAAAACTTTTCCCAAAGTGATAACTCTATATCTGACCTACCAGTCCTGACCCTTAAAGGAAACCTGCACAAGACTTTCAAAAGACGAGCCTGGAAGCTTAAATTCATAACTTTGCTAGATACTAAAAGCATAGACTGAACAGACACACTGGATGTATGGCTTATTACAACAATCTATAACCGACTAATAACCCTCCCCCATTGCTTTCCCCTCTTCCTTTCCTCCCTACGACTGGAGGGGTGTTAATGGGCCATTTCAGCTTGAATGTGTGTTAACTTCTTACGCTAAACCATTTGTTCCATTTTGTATTTAGCTGTGACACTCTGAGACCCTATCTCACTATTTCAGTAGCTCTTAACCTTTCCAGACAACTGTACCCCCTTCAGGAATCTGATTTGTCTTTTATTCCCCCAAGTTACACCTCACTTACAAAATCAGACCTAAAAATACAAAAGTGTCACAGCACGTATTACTAAATTTTTTTTTAACAATTATAAAAAAATCAACTGGAATATAAAATATTGCACTTACATTTCTGCATATAGTATATAGAGCAGTATAAACAAGTCACTGTCTGCATGAAATTTTAGTTTTTACTGACTTCGCTAGCGCTTTTTATGTAGCTTATTTTAAAACTAGGCAATTATCTAGATGAGCTGACGTGCCCCCTGGAAGACTTCTGCGTATCCCCAGTGGTACAAGTAGCCCTGGTTGAGAACCATTGCACTACAGATTACTTCAATATAACTTACGTCACTCAGGGGGGTGACTTATGCACACCCTTGAGCAACGTAAATTATACTGACCTACGCACCAGTGTAGGCAGTGCTATGTTGGCAGGAGAGTTTCCCCATCGACATAGTTACCGCCTCTCACAGAGGCAGTAGTTATTAGGCCTACAGGAGAGCTCTCTCCCATCAGTTTAGAGCATCTCTACCACAAGTGCTACATCTGCATTGCTGTAAGTGCTGTAATGTAGATGTAGTTTGAGTATGTTTCCCAGACCTGAAGAAGCGCTCTGTGTAAGCTCAAAAGCTTGTCTCTCTCACCAACAGATGTTGGTCCAATAAAAGATATTACCTCTCCCACGGTGTCTTTGACTCTAAAATGGCACACTGATTTCAGTTATGACTATTTTATTTAAAACCTTAAGGGCCATTAGACCTCATGCACCTGCTCCTTTAGCCCATTGTGTTTCCAGATTTGCACACAACCCATCATTTAAGGCTCTCATCATTGCATCTGAAGTAGTCAGCCTCATTTTGAACATCCCCATTTAAAAAAAGACTAACCATCTTAAAGCTTTGTTTCTGCTGTTAAAAGTATTTTCAAACTGTATCCGCGGCCCCTCCCTTTCAATTCCTTTTTTAAATTAGACCCACTCATTAGTATTTTAAGAAGATGTGACATATGCTACTGTATTTGGTTTCTTTCTGTTGTACGTTGTCCAGATTACTTTGGTGGTGGCAGAGGTGTAAGAATAAATTATTGAAATTCTGATCATATGGAAATACTGAATTTTGCTGCACCAAAATCAGAGTTCATATTTTTAACTCTCCTGACCTTTCTTTTCTCTGCGGAAGATTAAAGTATTAATGGATGTTCAGATCTATTTCTCAAAGCATGGCCTTAAAGATTTCCAACAATTTTGTTTTTGAGCATTTGCCAGTATAATACATAAGGATGAACAGAGCGATTTGACTTAGGAGACATAATGTAGCTGTGGAAGCTGGCTGTTCCTCCCTTTATTCCCATCATATCTATCAGATAGGTACAGTAAGAGTACATTACGGAGTTATATTCCGGTATATAGATAAAGGAAAGACAGAAACTTTCTCCTTAGATATAATGGGAAAGAAACCAAAGGGTGTAGTTTATCTACTATATTAAGCCCGATGCTTGGGTAAATTTTGGCTTTGAGAAAGAGCTGTGAGGAAATAATGCAAGCCTTTCAACGGCTACCAAAAATGATAAAGGAAAGATTACAGCACGTAAGGCTTTTAATTTAATGTTTTGATTGAGTCTCAATTCTTGTATCCTTCTCATTATAGTACAGCCACTGAAACACCTTTTTTTTTTAAAAAAAAAGGTATCACTATTTGATTAAAGTTATGCATGGTTTAACTGCTGTATTTAGGAACTGATCATGGATTAAAAAAGAAATCATCTCTATAATCACTGCGTTTTCTTAATAGAGCATTTCAGCACCCTAATCAATCACTCCAGATGGGGCTGTAATAACTGCAACCTTCTTGACAAGACCCCCTTAGCAATGTCTACCCAAAATCAGATGTGAATACAGTAAAGTCCACCTAATCAACTAATTATTACAATGTGAGTAACCAGAGATCTTTCATCGACAATACGGTTTTTTAAATGATTATCCACATGAACAGGAAGAAACTTATTAAGTGGTTAAAAAACCAAACAACGAATACTGAACCATGCTGATCATGGCGCTTCTTAAAAGATTTAGTCTATTCAGCATCAGCTTATATTAATGTCAAATGTGAGAAACATCTTGCTTAAATAACACTTAAGACAATGTATTAACACCAGAGCTGTTATTGTGAGGTTATTTACTTAACAAGGATTTGTGACTATTTTACAGATTGATGGGGGTTTTTATTAAGAAACAATTACATGGCACTATAAGCTAGCAAGGTGTTTAACAAAACAGAAATGAGAGTGTCCCTACTCCACAGAATTTACAACAAAGGACTCAGTTCACCTCTCACTAAAGTCTGAGGGAAACTCCTTTTGCCTTCAGCATGCAGCTTTTGTTGCAAAGGTCCGGTTGCTACAAAGCCCCAAACATCTTCCACTCTTGTTAAAGTCAATGAGAGAGTTTTGAGGTGCTCAGTGCTTCACAGAATGGGATCATAACATACAAGACAAAACATGGGATAAAACAGTTCTAGGAGGGGGAGATATGAAATGATCACTGGTAAGGTGTCTAACATAAGGTTCATGGAAGAAGTGGGGAGGGTGCTATATTAGTTTAAGTGGAACTTGCTTTTATTTTGGCTGCATAGAAAGTCAAAACATGAAGACCAAGAACAGTGCCACCTTTTCAAGGAAGTTTTGAAGATTGAAAGTTTGAAGCTCTTCAGCTGACAGAGCACACAGCTCACTTATTCCCCTAGCTCAGGTAATTCCTAAAAAGAAGGAAAAGCAGCAACCAGAAGCCGTCATCAGGAAAGCACTTAAGCATGTGCTTAAATCTATACCTATTCAGAACTGGGTTGCCTTAAGCACTTGCTTAAAATCTCTGGACTTCAGTGCAGTAAAGATCAGCTCAATGGAACTTAAGCAACCTCCTTTCCTTACAAGGATTTTTAAAAAAGGAGCTTTAGAGACAGCCTGCAGAACCAGATTGAAGTGCTACAGTTCCTGGCAGTCTCACTTCTGCTATGAAGAAACAGAAGAGGTGAAGAGAAGGGTGATACCAACATTCTTGGATTAATAACCACAAGGGCAGAGGATTGAACCTTCAGGTAACTGAGGGTGCTGGCCCAGGACAAGACCACATTAAAGGGGCACAAATCATAGGAGACTAGAACAGCTGGACAACAGCACTGTTGTTAAAGAAACTTATGGTTTTTGTTTATAGGTTTTTCTATAGCACTTATCACTGCTGTATCTGATCCCCTCACACACCTTAATTAATCTATCCTCATAGAACGCCCAGTGGAGTTGGAAAGTATTATTGTCTTTTCACAGTAGAGAACAAGACAGAGAGATTCAATGAATAGACCAAGATCACAAAGACATTTATGGTTGAGCCAGGAGCGGAAGGCAGAGTTCTCGAGTCCCAGTTTAGTACTCTAATGTAAAATGCTCTGCGTGCAGGTAGCTATAAGAGGTATGGGAACAGAGTCTATGTCACATCTAAGGCACTTTTCTCCCTAATACTGATCTTTTACCACAGATTACAGCCATTTGATTTGTCTACAGGGACTGAGAGGCTGGTGGTCTGAGCTACCAGAACATTCTGCATTACTCTTTGAAGAACCGCTGATGAGCTCAACAAGGCAGCAGCCTAAGCTAGGCTCCTCTAACACGTACATGGGAACGGTGGAGAAATTAAATTCCAGCTTACCTGTTCCTGCAGGACCCCACTATCTGGATGGCAGAAAGGCTGGCGTTAGGGGATAGACCTCTATGCTGAATTACCGAGAGAAGCCAGCGGAAGGGGAGTGAAACGGCAGGCTGGAGGAGGACACTCAAACACTCTGAGGGAGCTGGAATGAACGCAGGAGGTGTACTGGCACAGGCAGGCTGGCAGGCTGAGCTAGACTGTTCTGCTGTGCAGCTGAGGAAAGCCAGAAGATGATGTAGTAAATGGCAGGCTGGGCTGGGCTGGGCTGCACTGATCCACCCACTCCGAGGGAGCTGGAAGGAACACAAACTCAGCACAGAGTCTGCGGGCTGGCCTAAAAGTAAAATAGATTTGTTATTGAAAATCTAATACACCTGAAGCCCCCCACAGTTTGAGAAGAAATTTTCATTCTCTACAGCTCTGTGTTATGGAGAACAGGCAGCCTAACATCAGAATTCAAAAAGGGAAAGAAGGAAATCCTAGCTGCCTTGCGGTGGAGTGAGCTTCCATGTCAAACACCACATATACCAGCGAGTGCCCAGGTATAAGAAACTGTGTTGGCAAAGAAATAAGTTGCTAATATGATCACTGCCAGGACAGTCTGTTGATTTTAGGGAGCTTAATATTCAATACTAAGCAAGAAATCAAACTAGAAATGCTGAAAATCAGCAATCCATTTTAAATACATTTGATATAATCTCCCCTGCTAACCCCATGATACATTCACTGACACAGATGTTCAAAGGGCTTAATAATTAACACAAACACTGCTGTACATGCACAAACATAATGACTTGAAAATACTGGTTCATGATAGGATTAAGGTGATCTAGGGCTCTATGCACACCACACCTGGAGCTCCCCATGGCCTTGCCTCTGTGCCTCGGGAGCACAAGCCCTCATCCTTAGGTGGCTCTGCTCACTCACAGAGGGCACTCATCGCCACTCTTCTTTGGGAAAAGCTGGGCCTTCTCCTTCCTTCAACTGGGTTAGGGTCTGTCCTACATACAGTAGGTTGGACTCAGTCACCACCCAGCTAAGCCAAAGACTCGGCTGTGTGGGGGTCTCTGCTTGACACCAGCCCAGAAGAGCTGGAAAGCAGCCCTCACCCAAGCATCCTGTGCTGGGACGATAGTAGCAGGACTTCCCTGAGAACAACCCATTTAAGATGGATGGGGCAACTCATACCTCTCAAAGTCACTGCTTCATGCTGTCTGCAGACTCAGGCAGGCATCACTGTGTCATATTCTGGTCCTGTTTTCAAGGTTTTTTCCACAACCATGAGAGCAAGAAACTTGCCTTGGGTTTTGGGGCTTTTTTTAAAATGAAAGCTGAAATCCTAACCCGACCACGGAACTCCAGGAGCTTGGGCCTGGGGGACAGGTTTATAGCTCTATGCTTCAATCTGGCCCTGTACTGATTTCAAAATGAAGAATAAGGCATATTTTGTTGGCTGTCTCCATCCACTTCATTCCCAAAATTTTAAGAATAAGAACTCAAAACATTAAATTGAATTGGTCAAAATTCAGTCACATATGCTAAAATGGTACAATATATTAATATTAGCTTATAAATATTGTGCCTTTTTCCTTCAGTTTTACTGTTAAAAAAATGACAAGTGGACAAAGAGGAGAGCAGTTTTGATTAGGAAACTTACTGAAGGGAATGCCACAAGCACAAGGTAAAGCTGCGGGGGTTAGATGTTCCCAATACTTGACCTTTGATATTATTTCAATTATATAACAACATTAACTGAAAATCATTTAGAAATGTATTGATATTGGGTTCAAAAGTGTAAATAATTTATTATCTTGAAAAGAAGGTCCTGAAAAGAATATGGAAGTAGAACCACTGATTCCTGGATGAAACACTGAGGTTAGGAAGGCCCCAGAAGAGGAACTTTCACACTCAGCTTTAGTAGATCACATGAGGAACTATATTCATTCATCTTTCATCACTGTTTCCTTGCCTGTCTTCACACACATACAGTGACATCAAAACACAGAATTTGTGATATCAGTATATAGCAATAGAGTGTGATGTCACAAAACTATAGTGTCGGAGAATAACAAATGAAGTGTGCGGTTAACCAGTCAGTTCGTAACTGTGGTGTTGGTAACTCTGAGGTTCTACTGTACATTATTTGTAGGCAGCTAAAGGGTGTTGCATCCAAATTGAAGGAAGGGGAGCTAACCAGTATCATGACCTGCAGAAAACGATGCATTTCCAACTGGTCTCTTGCACAATGCTTCTACAGATTTTTTAATCTAGTTTTATTTATACAGAATTGATTTGTAACTGATGTATGGGAAGAGTGGACTTTTGCCAGGTGAAAAACTTAGAAGTAGTAAACATATTAAAAATTACAAATATTTGCTATGTTGCCTTTGCTATTTTTGCAGATACTTGTCTTTGAATAGGAAGTTTTTTCCTTACACCCCAGCTTCTGCTTGAAATGAGTGAAAACTGTTGTAAAAGCAAAAACTAACAAAAAGGGGATGCAATGCATGACAGTTGCACAGCCGATCAGGTCCATGTTTAGGAAGCAGCTAGCTGTGACATTTTTCTTTCTGAATACAGTGCATTAGTATGTAAGGAGACCACTTTGGGGCTCTCATACTTTTGATATGCTGAGAATGTGGCTGTATTTATCTTTGCACACACATTTTTGGACTGGATGAAGCAAATATAAAATGGGAAGAGCTATTTAAATTAAAACTCAGATCAGTCTGCTAAATCAACATGGAGTTTAAGTTGTCTGAGACCCAAACTGGAATTGCATGTTTTGCTATGAATTGACAAAAGGAAATGGCTTTGAGGAGAACACCTTGTGGCTCTCTATTCCACAGAGCAACACCCTGGAACTCCCATATTCATCACTGTCATATAATTATATGTTTTGTAAAAACTATGCCTTGTGAGGTATCATTTTGAAAGTCTTGATTTGTTGAACATTAATATCCTGTTGGGTTGCATGAGCTATCATTGTATGTGCCGTTGTGAAGTTTTGCTACTTGTGTATTACTAAAATATGTTGAGAGGTTGGGAACACTCACAACTAGCCTTTCAAGTACAAACAATGGAGTAGCCATACATGCTGATGGCCCATTAAAGAGAATCCACTATCCCAGGAACTGTATACAATGGAGATATCTCAGAGAGCACATAGACAATGGAGAATGCTTGACCAATGGGGGCGGACCCCAATGTCAAAAGCATAGATCTTTCTAACAAGCTGGAAGAAAGTATGAAGAGGGGAAGTAACATGAAATTGTATGGCTATCTGGCAGATGGCTTATAAAATAGCAGGGGGACAAAAGGCACCTGCTCAGAGACCCCATCGAAGAAGCTGTGGTTTCAAGTGATGAGCTGAGGTTAGATTTTCAGCCTGATTGCATCAACCTGGCTCAACAAAACTCAGATGAGAATCATACCTGTCTGGACCAGTACAGGGCAGTTAGATTATTGAACATCTTTCAATCCTGGGCTTTGCTAAGGCCTTTGCTACCAGAAGGGCTGGTAGAAAGGCACACAGAACTCTCCTTCACCAGTGGATGGAGAAGGCAGCCCTTGCTACCTCCTTTTGATAGCTTTCTGCGCAAGTGAGATGGAAGCAGTGTCTCACACTGTAAGAAAATCTGGTCCCTCATGTTCTGATCCAGAAACTTCTTACAAGGATTGGTTACAAACCAATTGTCTGCAACTGTGTTCCTCCTGCCAGGCACTTCTAGCTACAAATTGTTCCTAAAGTGCATTCATGATCAGCCAAGATCAAAATAATCTATTACTTGGTGGTATGAGAGTCCCTGTATTACTTGCTTCCATGGTCTTAGTCTACAAAACTGCCTCCTATGCAAACATGCCAAGTGTGGAAGCAGAGAAAAGGATAAAGGAAATCTGAACGCAGATATCTTAACTTTTAGGAATAAAGTAAGAGTCAGGCTAACACTAGCTCTAACAACATGAGATTTCAGGCAGGGCTTAGGCAAGTAGAAAGCAAGTGGAACAAAAAACTGTAAGAGATACTGTTTTTTGTCCTTGTGTTAGATAATCTGGCATATCTAGCTTCAAGACTAAGCTTGATAAATTTATGTAGGGGATGGTATGATGGGATAGCCTAATTTTGGCAATTAATTGATCTTAAATTATTAGCGGGTAAATATGCACAATGATCTGTGATGGGATGTTAGATAGGGTGGAATCTGAGTTACTACAGAGAATTCTTTCCTGAGTGCTGGCTGGTGAGTCTTGCCCACATGCTCAGAGTTTAACTGATCACCATATTTGGGGTCAGGAAGGAATTTTCCTCCAGGGCAGATTGGCAGAGGCCCTCGAGGTTTTTCGCCTTCCTCTGCAGCATGGGGCACGGGTCACTTGCTGGAGGATTCTCTGCACCTTGAGGTCTTTAAACCACGATTTGAGGACTTCAATAACTCAAACATAGGTTAGGGGTTTGTTACAGGAATGGGTGGGTGAGATTCTGTGGCCTGTGTTGTGCAGGAGGTCAGACTAGATGATCATAATGGTCCCTTCTGACCTTAAAGTCTATGAGAGAAGAATGGAATGTAGACTGTGGCAGAAATTAATGAGAAAAAGTGAGATATCAGGAAGGCATATGTATAAACAAGATGCAGTTTTTGATCATTATTGTCTGTAACAAAAGGTGTAAACGCTTGCCCTAATTGTTTATCTAACGGAGACCTGCCTGGGAGGGAGGGAAGGGGGAGGGGAGGGAACCCCTGCCCGTGTGTACTCTCCCCTTGCAAGTGTCAGGAAAATAAACGGTCTCTGACTTGTTGCAACCAACCTGAGAGTGAAGACGGTTTTCTTCCACACAAGCAAACTATAAATACAACACAGAAATGAGTTTCAATCACAAAAAGAGACAGGCACTAAAGTCTCACAGAGATGCACTGAAAGCAAAGGGCTCAGATTTAGAACTGCTGAAACATACCTGGGCTGAAAAGCAGGACTGGAAGGAACCAAGAAAGGATATCTAATGAGTATTGCTGGGATGTGAAAGAGAGCTGGAACAATAGCCTGTTGTAGCACTAGATCCTGCAGGAACCTCCTTTGATGACCATAGTCAAAAAGAAACCAACTGAAACATTTGGAAAGCAGCATTTATACTCAATAGGTGTGTGCAGCAGGGGACTTGATCTGTGCTTTACCTTACTACAACTGACTTCAGGAATCAAAAAGCTTGATAGCTAAGGGAACTCCACCAGGCTACAGCTAAGGAGATAAGACTGAGGATATCCTGCACAAGTTGTAGTTTTAGAGAACATGATGTCCCTTGCTACATGACATAAAATCACTGGCTTCAGTATCATTCCTCTGTAGGAAGTGGTTAAAACACTAGTGACACTTTATAGTAAATTATTAATGCCTTAAAACTAAACAAATATTTTATTAGGTTCTTTTATTTGAAATTAGTCCACTGAAAAAGCTAAACATTCCAAAAGCAAACTAGGGCTGTCAAGCGATTAAAAAAATTAATTGTGCGATTAATCGCACCGTTAAACAATAATAGAATACCATTTATTTAAATATTTTTGGATGTTTTCTACATTTTCAAATATATTGATTTCAATTACAATACAGAATATAAAGTTGCAATGCTCACTTTATATTTATTTTTTATTACAAATATTTACACTGCAAAAAACAAAAGAAATAGTATTTCAATTCACCTAATATAAGTACTGTAGTGCAATATCTTCATAATGAAAGTTGAACTCACAAATGTAGAATTATGTATAACAAATTGCATTCAAAAATAAAATATAAAACTTTAGAAGCTACAAGTCCACTCAGTCCTACTTCTTGTTCAGCCAATTGCTCAGACAAACAAGTTTGGTTACAATTTGCAGGAGATAATGCTGCCCGCGTCTTGTTTACAGCGTCAACTGAAAGTGAGAACTGGCATTCGCAAGGCATTGTTGTAGCCGGCATAGCAAGGTTTTACGTGCCAGATGCGCTAAAGATTCATATGTCCCTTCAAGCTTCAACCACCATTCCAGAAGACATGTGTCCATGCTGATGATGGGTTCTGCTCGATAACAATCCAAAGCAGAGCGGACCAACGCATGTTCATTTTCATCATCTGAGTCAGATGCCACCAGCAGAAGGTTGATTTTCTTTTTTTGATGGTTCAGGTTCTGTAGTTTCCATATCAGAGTGTTGTTTTTTTAAGACTTCTGAAAGCATACTCTGTACCTCATCCCTCTCAGATTTTGGAAGGCACTTCAGATTCTTAAACCTTGGGTCGAGTGCTGTATCTATCAGTAGAAATCTCACATTGGTACCTTCTTTGCGTTTTGTCAAATCTGCAGTGAAAGTGTTCTTAAAATGAACATGTGCAGGGTCATCATCCAAGACTACTATAACATGAAATATATGGCAGAATGTGGGTAAAACAGAACAGGAGACATACAATCATCCCCCAAGGAGTTAAGTCACAAATTTAACACTTGTTTAAAAACAAAACAAAAAACAAACCAAAAAAGCATTATCAGCATGGAAGCATGTCCTCTGGAATGGTGGCCAAAGCATGGAAGGGGCATATGAATGTTTAGCATATCCGGCACGTAAATACCTTGCAACGCCGGCTATAAAAGTGCCATGTGAACACCTGTTCTCACTTTCAGGTGACACTGTAAATAAGAAGCAGTCAGCATTATCTCCTGTAAATGTAAACAAACTTGTTTGTCTTAGCGATTGGCTGAACAAAAATTAGGACTGAGTGGAATTGTAGGGTCTAAAGTTTTACATGGTTTTGTTTTTGAGTGCAATTATGTAACAAAAAATAATCTGCATTTGTAAATTACACTTTCACAATAAAGAGATTGCACTACAGTATTTGTATGAGGTGAATTGAAAAATACTATTTCTTTTGTTTATCATTTTTATAGTGCAAATATTTGTAATAAAAATATAAAGTGAGCACTGTACACTTTGTATTCTGTGTTGTAACAGAAATCAATATCTTTGAAAATGTAAAAAAAGATTCAAAAATATTTAATACATTTCAATTGATATTCTATTGTATTCTAAAGGATGTCAATTATTAGGAGAAAGACTGAACTGTCTTTTCAGACAAAATTGAGCTGAAAGCAAGATTCTCCAATAGTCTACTATTGTAACGGACAGAAGGCAGCATTAGAAGTTGCCTATAACATGGACATACCTTCCTTCCTGTTCCTGAGTGTGCCTTTATTGGAAAACGTTTAATATTTGAGACACGAACACTATTTGAGACATCTGACATTTAAAATTCTAGCAAACCAGGTTAATGTCAAAGACTAAAAGGATCAGGATTTGTTTAGTTTCGTGGTACATGTGCCAAGTCAGCAGCAAATTAAGCTTGACTACAGCAATCCTCAGAACATAAGGTGTAAATGCTGCTAATACCACAGGAGACTAGTTCAATCTTTCTCCAGCTTCAGTTCCATTCGTTCTCTAATGGTGGTGTGAAACTATTGCTAAAGCCACATATGAACGGACTTCTCAATTGTAATTGTCCCAGTCAGATAAAACTTTAGATATGGGCAGCTTTTCTTTGAAAAAGATTGAAGGCAAAACTAAGCCAAACCAATCAGGGAAAATAAATTTGATGTAAAACTTATCCCATTTGTTCAGTTTAGTAACTTAAGAAATGGACAGAACAAGAGAATGCATATTCCAACAAGATACCATATTTCTTGAAAAAGTCTATAAGCTTTAATATAATAGGGTATCCTTCATGATGTCCAATTTTTTTTTTAAAGTAAGTTGTGGAATTTACAAGTGTAAAAAACAAGGAGAAAAAAATATTACGAGATTTAAGTTTGTTATGAATGCATTTTGCTTCATGAGACTTTTCAATAAATATTTGCTGAAATAGGCATTTTTATTTTTACTAAGAAAAAAAAGCACCAACATAAAAAGAGTTAGAATAAATTAAAGTTAGCACTATGTATAACAGTGTTAACTGAACAGGAATGGAAGAGTGCTCTCACCCAACACATTCCCTTCCACCGAATATGATGGAAAACACTGATTTTTAAATTAAACTGATTAAATAAAAAATCAATACTCTTACACAAGTTTTGTTCATAGATATATGTAATAGAAAGGGTATTCAATACTTCTTTTAAAAAAAAACACACTTCATTGTAGCTTACAGTAGCTACAACCTATTTATTTGAGTAATTGCTAGAGCATGCAAATTATCTGAAACAATGCAGAGTGCTTTGGCCACGAAATACTCAGGCATCAAGGTTAATTTAACAGCAGTACTGGCCAGTATTCAGTAACTGAATGAAATGCAGTGAACACTCATTAATTTGTTAAAACAGACAAAGTTGCGTGCCAAACATTTACTTTAAAACACATGCAAGTTTTAATTGCAATTTAAATCTGTAAAGAAAAGCTGAAGGATTCCAAAGTGCAACACAAATGAAGAAAGGTAACTTAGGTTTACAAGTGTTGGTCTGACGTTTATGTGGTTTATGATGTAGCCATTAATGTTTCTTTAGTAAAAACCATGTCAATGCCCTTCAAGAATAATGGACCAAATCCATGGGACTAGATTGGTGTCTTCTATAGGAGAGGGGCAAAGAAAAGGGTTCGTGCCTTTTTCTGGCACCAACTTCTTTGGAGAGAGGCTTTCTGTGGGCAAAGGCAAGAATTTCAAAGGCAGCACACTCTTCTAACTCTGCCTATCTTGAAGGAGGATGAGAAAAGAAACCCATTCCCTGTGGCTCAAGGGCCATACTGCAGAGATAGCTACTGTTCCAATGGCCTGTCTCTCCTTGGGAATGCAGTTCCTGAACTGACAGTGGCCTAGAGCTGCTTAACATAAGCAGCAGAAAGGACATAGGACGAACCACTACAGCTTCAAGTTATATTATTTCTTGACCATCTTTTCACATGGAAATCCAGAAGCAGAGCCTGACCTCTGTTGCTCTACCCCACAACAAAATAGTGAAGCCCTGCAGGTGCTATTCATGGAAATTCACCAGATCAGAGAAAGGCACAGAATAGTGCCACAGAAGCAGCACTGCCCCACTGCCTCTTTCGCACACAGTGAACTCCAAAAAATTATCTAGGCCACTTTTTTAAAACTAAACACGGAAGTCCAGACACTGCTTCCAATGAAGCCTGTGTGAATTTTTTCATTGACCTCAGTGGAATGAGGAGTGATAATTTCCTGGAAACATGAAAAAAGTATTAGTGAAGTAACGCAGAGATGTATGCTCCCTATTAATAAAGCGTACTACCTAATTATGCTTGAAATTTGAACTCTGAAGTAGCAAGGTCTATGGTAACCTGCCACCATTTGTGGTAGCACAAAAAGAAAATGTCAATAGAATGTCTGAGTGGATGCGTAGACAATTGAGACAATTTACCAGGAAAAAAATAAGCAGATAAAACAGTATCTAGTTTATTATGTATAGAAAGATTTCCAGAATTTACAAACACCCACATTTTTCATTCCAGGAAGAGTTTTGATTTGAAGACTTCACCCATGGTTCTTTTTTTCCTTTTTTCTCCTAACAATATATACAATGGAAGACTTTGATTTCTTTTTTCTGCTTTTTGTAAGTTTCTGTGCAATAGATGAGTTCAAGTTGACACTTGTAAATACCATCTACAGTAAGTTTATCTTCATTTGAGTTAATACAGCCTATTTTACAAGAGGAGTACAAAATTATTATTTTTTCTTTTGGAAAGAATTTAGCTCAACATCAGGGTTATCTTACAACTGATAGTATCAGTAAATATGACTGTACAATCAAGGCCCAGGGGCCAATGATTCATATTATATTATTTTCTGAATTACAATCTTAAAACAAGAATAGTACCCTACTCTATTCTTATTAGCCTTGTTTTAAGCAGGTTCCCCACTCTGTTTACAACAGAATATAGTATACCTCAGTTCCACATCAAAAAAGATGTGCTGTAGGAAAAGTTACAATTAAAAAAAAAGTACATGTATAAATCAAAACCTATGTTAAATATTTAATACTCTTCAACCAACATTAACAGTTTTGTATGTAATAATTTACAATGATGATTTGTCATACAGGTTTTCAGCAGCAAATGAAATGTAATGTATCATGTAAATGTGCTAGTACAATACCCATTCTCACCATGACATAGTGGTGGGCACATCAGTTCATTGTGTCCAGCTAAGTCCTTATGGTAGAGGATGAAGTAATAGAGACTCATTGTCCAGGTGTCACAGTGCTTTTGCTTGGCACAACATAGAATGTGCAGTTCAGTCAACTAACTCCTGAGGTTTGTGTAAAGTAAACAAACTGAACTGGATGCATCATACCCATCTATGGACGAGGAGGAGGATGTGAGGTCCTAGTTGTGATTCATGTAACATTTATAGTCTGGATACCCATGAGTTAAAAGAAGGATTTGCTGAGGTTGTATAGGTCATCATTCTGAAATTGAAAGAGAAAGAAAATAACCATCTTAGGCTGGTAAACACACTGCTTATAATTACTGCTTTGAACAACAAAAATGACATGTGCCATTCAAACTTCAGTCTTTAGAACCTTAGAAAAGAACAACGTACATAAACTGTACTAAAACATGTAATAATTACTAAAGTATCAAAGATGTTGAAAACCAGGAATATATTTTAAATATATTTGAGAGATTCACATGTGGAAAAAAGAAAACAATTAAAAGTGTTTATATTGATTAGATTCCTTGAAACCAATTTCTACATCAAAGAAAAAAGTCCAGACCATTATACTTCTGGGGTGTTTTGTACTCTCTGCAAGGAAGATTTTGGTTAGATTTCTGACCCTACTTTCCTGCCTACCTAGGTGCACAATTTCTTGTATAAGAAGGTGCCATGCATCACTCAACATGCCCACCACTGACCATTAGTAAGTTATGAAAAACTATAAAAATGCAAATTTTGAACATTCCCATGGAGCCAGAAGTCAGGACATATTGGTGATATCCACTGACATCTTTTTAAAAATATAGTTCATATCACTGACAGAAGACTGATGCCTCATCCACACGGTGTTAGTCTGTACTAGTAGGGTATAAATTCTGGTATAACCCAGCATGTCACGCATCAACTGGCCCAAGCTGACCCTGGTGGCATGCACTAGAAGCTCCCTAGCGCACCAGGACTACTAGACTAGAATTTACATCCCACTGATGCAGACTAATGCATCATATAGACAATCTCTGACTCCTCACAGGATGTTGCAGCCATAATTCTGCTTCTGAGCCTACTCTCAGTAGGGAGGTTATCACATCATTAAAACTAAGACTTTGACAAAGTGACCCACCCACCAGCGAAAAATATTCCATAACACCACTACTTTCTGCTTAGAATTTATAAGCTAAAGATTCAGATTTTATTAAATGTGTATATTTTTCATAACATATACTAACTATGTCCTAAAAAATAGAGTAACAGTATATTTCCACCCTGCAAATAAAGACTTCCCATAGGGACGCTGAAGTAAAAACTGAAAAGGCCTCCTCTGTCCTATACTCTCTCATTTCCCAAGAAACAGAATTTACTTTGTGTGGTCCTTCAAATGAAAGGAAAATCTATCCTTGCAAATGATGCGTGGTATGCTGTGAAAACTCCCTGGAGAATTATCTCACAGATCTCTCATTTACTTTCAACTTTCTCCTGAACTCATATTGCAATCTACTGGAATGTTCCTACCAGAATATCTATATACAGCTTAACATAGCTTCACAGCTTTCAACTATGTTGGACCTAAAAATAGACAGTAATGCCATACTTTATTAAAGGACGAGTGACAAAGAAAGAAATTGCCTAATTTAAACTGAGAAGTAGTGAAATGTGCATGATTTGCTTTTCATTTCATATCATATCTGGCTCTAATCCAGCATAGCTGAATGAATTTAGTGCAAGAACAAACTGTACTCAGTAGTATGGTCACATGCTCCAACCTGCACAGTGGAAGAAACGGGGAGGGAAATGTATAGTTTTTCTACGTATGTCAAGCTTGTTGTTTTGAGATATTTTCAATAAATAAAAACAATTTACAGTGTCAAAGCAATATATCATATCTATTATCTAATGTTTCTGTAATCTACCTCAACTCCCAAATCTGTCATGCATTACTTATAAAAATCCTCTCTTGCTTCCCCCAACACAACCAGTACCATCAAGACTCTTTTGTAAAGAAACCTGGTGCAATCTCTGGGTGTTACTCCCCAGTCTTCTGTACACAGAAACTAATACAAGAGAAAAAGCATTTACTGGAGACAGGGAAATATTATCTAGCAAAATCATTCAGAAACTTCAACAGTTCTGAAGAAAATAGTAATTATGGAAGACTAGGTGCATAAGCTACCAAACCCTTTGGGAAAGTGAAACAGGGTGAAGGCTGGAGTAGGTTGTATATCTAGGAATTTCTGTGACTCAGGATGACTGGCCAAAAATATATGGAGCAGTAACTGTAGTACACTTTCAATGCATGTAAGCTGGCTCTCAGTAGTTCCTTAGAAAAGCACCATGAAAAGGATACTTATAGTAGTAACGTGGGTCAGTTTCAGATCTATTACCACACCTTCTACATCTGCAGGGTTACAACAGGATAGGATACTCTTGTAAAGATTTCCTGAAAATTATCTTGACACACTACTGTGAAGCCATATAAGCAACTTCAGTTTCCTTGTAAAATAGTTTGGAGCAAAGACACCACCACTTTAACTGGAGAATCTTTCAAGATCTCAGAACTCTGTCCATTTGAATTAAGCTTTTGAGTGTATCAGTTGTTTTTGAAACAGGAATGAAGAGATGCTCTATAACACATCCTTTGAAACACTTTTCCATAGATCTATAAAAACAGTTATCCCCTATAAGTAAAGTGATTCTACTTCTGAAGAATTTGTATTGTTCATTTAGGCAAACAGCCCATATTATTTTGGTCTCATTCTTCAAAATTTCTTTATAAAAACAAAAACAAAAAAAACTATACAAGTTCCAAGGATTCTAAAGTAGGTATCTGAAACCTGTTACACACGTCCTACGTTACAAAAACATAACACACACAAAAGTGACAAAAAACATTTAGAAACATTTGATTCTCTGCTAAGGAAAGTTTCAGCCTAGACAGTTGATTTTAAAATGACCTACTTATCAACTCCTTATCCCCTTCTGCCCCAAAAAGTTGTATAATGGAAAGACTGATAACCCATACTATAACTGCATAACTGTGGTGTGTGGTCTGATTCCACACACAACAAAAACAAAGATAACATCCATACTGAAAGCAGACCTGCTTCCTCAAGGTCACTGTAATATCGCCATAACTATATAACATAAATAGGGCCTTAGATCTGTGGGGTCTGTGTGTGTGTGTGTGTGTGCGCGCATGTGCGCGCACACACATAAATTAGAACGTATGAAGTGCTTCACCACTAGGACCTAAAAACTTTAGAGTATTTCTTGACTTCTGTGACACAGTAACTGAATTTATTGTGGGAATGATTCCCATCTTGTGAGGATGACCGTGTCTGAATTAAATGGACAATACTGGGTCTCATCAGAAAGAGCTCCCAACATCATAGACACCCCTGGTGAAGGTAGTAGCTATTGAGAAGACTATTTTGATAGACAGGAAATATAACAATACTTCTCATAGGAGTTCAATCAAGTTAGCGCCATAAGAACCAGAATGCTGGTTGAAAATTGTGCTCTACAACCTTGTAGGGTGAAATCAGAGTAGCCTTCGTAGAGAGCCACTTAACATTGGGATGTGCAGAAAACCTCCTTTTACTTAACATAAGAACATAATGTAGCGAACAGACCGTTTAACTTGGACACTTGTGTGTCCCATTTAAAAGGTCCCCCTGGATGAACTACAGGCTTCCTCTAACCGACTTTAACTTCACATTTAGCCCCTGGACTTTTCATTTTATAGACTTCTTTCTAGGGGCTATTACTGTTGATAACCTGTGTCAATTTTTGTTTATGTCACCTCTTTCAAAACACAAGACTGTTAGGATGAGCTTGTCTGGCCCTGGATGGAGGACTGGCCCTTGGGATAGATCTCTGAGTCAGTGGCATCAGGAGATATTACGCTAGGTTGATTTTTTTTTTTTTTAAATAGGATTTCCAGTGTTCCTCAGTTGAGGGAGCAAACAAAACCATGGGACCTTCACCTCAGCCAACAGAAATATTGACGGGATAAACAGGAATTAATGATCTCTCTCACATGAGTTCTTGTCAGGGAAGCTTATCTGTGCATGAAATTAGTATTCCCAATAGGCTTCAATAGGGACTGGACTTTTGTTAAGGCACAACTTGCTTTTTCGTCATGGGTGCCTTCATTTTTGTTTAACATTCCTCCAAGACAAGACTTTGTACCTTATATACCTAATATATCCTAAGATGCTTCAGAAACTATCATTCTGTATCTGATTTCTCTAAACACAGAGCCCTGATTAGCAGAACTGTCCAGGCAGTGATATGAGATCATTTCCTGTTTCTTTATTCATTATTATGACTGGAAGAGATCCTGGAGCACTTTGCCAGACCAAACACTAATGATCAGAGTGGAAAAAGCTGGCATCCATGTGCCAAGTAGGATTATTAGCTGTAAGATCATACAATGAGCATATGAAGACAAGTCTCCTTCTGGAAGACAGAAAAGCTCTCTGTAGATAGTTGTCAAGTAGACTTGAGAACATCCCATCTTGAACATAGGCTCCTGTAGACACTTATTCAGATGCCCATTCTCTGTCCCCAATTCTCCCAGGCTAGAAATATAGTAGGATGAGGAACTGCCCCTGAGTTCCCTCTACCAGGGAATGGGTTGTATTACTCCAATCTGTAATAAATGATGGAGGATTGCCTTCATGTCCTGCCATTTCCATAGTTGGCTTGAGACAAAACTGTGCATTCGATTCTTTCACAGCTCAGAATCCCCCCTCCCCCCCCCCGATAATGTTTAGGAACTTAATTTTGACCAATGGTGAATACCTATTAGTTCCCAAATTTAAAGAGCCTGGCACCAATTGGGGGAGATGGGGAGTTACTTGGGGGTGGAGAGGTCTACTCAAGACACAGCTGGCAGAGAGTTATGAAGATTGCTCTGAAAATATCCATCATCACTTTAACTCCTTTCATCCAAACTTGTTCCAACCACCAATGCAAAATGGTATTTTCTCCTGTTGTACTTCAGGGGCTCCTTCAACTTGCCATATGTTCTGTATTCCTTTGCATTGTGTTTGGCAGGTGCCCGGATTATAACTTGACTTTTCTGATGACTCCATGACCACCTTGTCTCTTGCCTTCCATAACTTTTTCCACTGATAACAAGAAAGGAGGAAGCCAATTTGTATAGGAATTCACTCTCAATGACCAAAGACACTCATGCTTGCAAGAAACAGAGTTGTATCCCACTATTCTGAGTAAGAGATTTATGGCATA